GCAAGAGCGTGCCCTTCCCTTGCGACTATCTGCCAGCGGATGAACTTGCTCCGGGCGCGCTGCTCCTAATTTTGTCATAGTTGTGACCACAAATTCTAAAACGATAAGACTCATGTGTGGGAGATCTAGCTGAGCTCCGATAGAAGCGAATGCAGTGGCCGTTATAATTCCAAATGTGTCCGCCGAACCCATTACTTCAGCTTTTTGACCCGTCAACAGTTGACGGAGCTGCACAGGAGAACTGTTAAAGGCAAGGGAATTTGGTGTGATAATCCCTCTCGAATATGAGAAAAACCAAATAACAAAAACAAAACAAATAAGCAATTATTGAATAAATATATAAAGACTTTGAATGTGGTTCGTTTCGCCCCAAACTCAGACGAACCACTTTATTTCCATCAATCCCCGGGGCTCATCAGTGAGTGAGGGATTGATGGAAACAAAAGGATATATGAAAAAGGTGAAGAATAATTGACCTATAAAACATGCAAAAAAGAGAAAGGTAAGTAGACGCTAACACAGAAAGAAGTAAAGACTAGAAAAAGGGAAAAGGACTAGATACGAGAAATAAATGACTAGAAGTAAAGAGTGAAGAAGTACTACCAAACAAACGACTAGCAAATGAAGACTAGAATGGAATAATGAACGAAAGAACAAAAAAAATTAGAGCAGGATTATCAGAATAAGTGAGAAACAAAGGAAGTTAAAAACAAAAGTTAGATAATAGAGGACAATTGAAACAAAAGGCAAATGGAGGCAAGAAAAACTAAATGAAGTCCAAATAGGTACAAAAAGGCGAGTGATAAAAACTCACGTCTAATACTCAGCGAATCGTTGCAAATGGCTTCCTGCGTTATATTGTGACTGGAGCACGTTATAATAACGCTGGAAAGACATTTCATAGTGGTATGTAATGTATCTAGAATAAGAAAGGAAGCTCATAACAAATATGGTGAACTACTGAATATACCAATGTAGACACGTATTCAAGGCATATATAGGCGCATACCATATACGTATTTTAAAAAATATATAT